AGAGGAATTTTCAAGTTAAAAGGCTGAAAAAGTGCAGAAGTGAGTTCTTCAAAATTGGGTAGATATTCAAATGGTGTAGCAATCTTTTAACAAAATTCTGATGTATTGTCTATTACAGGGCGCTTATTACCGTGATTAAAGTTAAAATAAAGATTAGATAAAAAGAAATGATGCTATTTGGAAAAATTCAAAATGCGCACATTAAGCGCTGATATGAGCGTACATGAAACAATGTAAAATGTTAGTCATGAATTGTGTGAAATGACAACGAGAAAAGCAGTGATACTTACCCTGTTCTAAAATAACGTGAATGCGATTTTTAGTGGTATTTGATGAGAAGCAAGCACGAGATTAATTAATTATTCGATATTAGTAAATGAGACAAGCACAGACGAAGATGAAGCAACGGCAATGATTTGTAATAATAAATAGCCAAAGAAAAAAAAGTTAGTTAATATTGCATACTAAATATTCCCACAAACAAACAAATAAATAAATGAAATGGTGTATACTTTTTTTTACACGATTTTTCATTACCTTTATTCATATTATCAGTTAATTTATTCTGCAAATATATAACTTGATCTTCCCACTTATTTTTATCCCTTTTCAACTCCAATTCCTTTTCCAACCTCCTATCTCCTGCTTGTCCTCTTCATCAAGGATTTTCCTCTTTTTCCTTAATGACTTTAGCAGCATGCCGCTCTCCCCTTCTTCAAATTCCTTTAACTTCCTCTTCGCCAAATCATGTTCTTCTTCTGACTTTTTTAATTGTTGTTCAATTATGTCAATGATAGCCATTTGTAAAATTTTAATGAAACAGAAAAATGTATTAATTACAATAATAGCATAATCCGCAGTAATTCTAATGTCGTGTAACTTAACCGATCGTCAAAAAATTTTTCACAATAATCGGGGGGGGGGGGGTTTTTTTATTTTGTTTTTTTAAAAATGCCGCTTCATATACCTTTTGGTCGGCCTCTTTTAAAAAAAATTGAAATAGCAATCAAACTTTCTTGTTTTATACATTTTATTGGAGAACATGTTATGGAAGTTACGATGGTATTATATTAAAATTTTTCTAATTCATATCCGAATTTTTTTTTTATAAAGTGAGAGCCCATTTTTTTAAAATTATCAGTGCATAGGTCCTTCGATGCTTCCGACTTTTAACACGGTTGGAGATCTTGTAGTCTTGGAACATTTCAGTCCAAAGTTAAAACGGCTTGAAATTGGGGATGTAATAGTTTGCATTTCTCCTACGAATCCTTTGAGAGCCGTTTGTAAAAGGATAATAGGAATGGTAAGTCAAAAAAAAAAAAAAAAATGCGTTTTTTAAAAAAAATCTTTGGGCTAACGATGAATTGTATATATTTAGCCAGGGGATCGTATTTGCATTGATCCAACGGTTATAAATCGGAAATATATCACGGTAAATTAAAAATGGCATATGATTTTTATTGAAAGTCATTTTCATTAATTTTTTTGCGAGCAGGTTCCCCGCGGGCATGTTTGGTTACAAGGTGATAATATGAGTAATTCTACTGATTCAAGAAGTTATGGCCCAGTACCTTATGCTTTGATTAGAGGGAGAGTATTTGCAAGAGTAAAATATTTATTTTTAAATTTATTCAAGAATTATGATTATGATTTATTGATTTAAATTATACATTATAATTTAAATTTTCTTTTTTTTTTAGATCTGGCCTCAGTCATGTTGGATAAAGAATGGAATGACTCCTCTTCAAGAGTGATTAAAAAAAAAATTTACAATTTTGCATCTAGTGAGATATAATTTTACATTCAATTTATAGGAATTGAAAATAAAAATTCCTATTTATATTACCACACATTGTAACAATAGATAAGCAACAGTCATCTTAAAAATTTACAATATTTCGAATTACAGTATATATTTTCAGAGTCAAGCTTAAAAAGATAAAAAAAAAAAAAAAAGGAATTGATTTTATATATATTCTAAAGCAAAGATCTTAATGCTTCCAGATAGAACTAAAGGCTTCAGATCAGAAGCATATAGGATCACTATCTACAAAAAAAAAATTGTGAAATAATAATTAAAGGAACAAAAAATAATGTAGTAAATGAAGACAATGTCTTGGATTCTTTAAATACCAAATCCAAATCCATTCATTACACCAACAAATCACTAATTTTGTACACGCCAAAACTTAAATTTAACTTTTGCGGAAATTTTTTTTTAAATGTGTAAATCCGCAAAAGACGTACAAAGCTTGGAAATGTGATGTACGGATTTGCATATATATATATATATAATATATTGCACAAAAATCCATTAATGCAAGATCATGGTGTTTTCATTTTTCCATTATGGTCAGCAGAACTTGGCGGTCCCCATCTATAGAAAAATTTTTAATTCATCTTGATAAATATATTATATGTTGAAATGAATGAATCGATTTTTTTACATACATTCGAATAGTTTTGTCGTCTCCAGCTGAAGCAAACATGTACGGGTCGATTGGACTCCAATTAACACTATTAACTGAACCTTTGTGCCCAGACAGTGTTTCTATCAAATCTGCATGTTCGCGATGCCAAACGTAAATTTTGGAATCTAAAATAAAAAAAAAAATTCAGTAACGTCCCTTTAATTCGAAATGTCAACTAAAATTATACGAAACCTTCACTTCCGCTAACGATAAACCCTTGATCTATTCCACCAAAACAAGATCGTATGACGAATCTTCCTTGTTTCTGGCCAAAATACTTTCGCACAATCCGCCTTTCATCAATATCCCATAAATGAATTTCCTAATAAAATCGATTAAAAATAAGAAAAAATCTTTTCTTTAAAAAATAACGTCCCTATATCCACTATTTTTTTTTTCACAGTTCTACCTTTGTGGATAGGTTCAACAAAGCGTATTTGCAATCACTCGATAAACAAATCGAGGTGAGTTTCGCGTTTTCGTCCATTATCCTGCGGAAAATGAAATAATTAACTAGGGAGTTCCTTTTAATATTAAAGAAATAGAAAATATATCACATACGCTTCTTCTTTTCTTGTTTCAAGGTCATATATATGTAATTTGTTATCATGACAAATTGCGACCATTCTAGTTCCTTCTTTATTAATTGCTAAATCAGCTATTCGCGCACCGGACCACTTATGAACAATTGTACCATCCAAGTTCTAAGATCGAAAATATTGTTAGAGTTTGTTAGGGGAAATAAATGTCTTTAATTAAAGATTCTTTTCTTACCCATAAATAAGTATTTTTATCCTGGCTTCCAGAAATAAAACGTTTTCCATCTGGAAGCCAAGCACATGCGGTCACAGGTTCTTCATGTTTTTTAATGGTGTTTAAACATTCACCCGACTATTTTTATGATATATTAATTATTCAATGAATTGGTATAAAAATTTTTGCGAGGATCTTATTGAACTAATTGTATACCTCCACACTCCAAAGTTTTAAGACATTGTCCTGACCACAGGTTAAGATCTTTGAATCATCTGGAGACCATGATAAAAAGGACACACAGTCCATGTGATCTCTGAGCACATGAACTAAATTCCAGGTCTATCAAAAAATTCTTATAAATAGTAAGATATAATCTTGATATTTTAAAGTTATATTAAAAGTTCATACCTCAAGACTCCATATGATAGCTGTCTTGTCTTTTGATGCAGAAGCAAGGAACCTCCCATTATTAGAGAATGCAACATACCAAACTTCATCAGTATGTTGTCTAAAAATATGGGTAGTTACTGAAGGGAATTGTGACCTGATTATAAATTAATTACAATTAAAATATTTAATTTTACGTCCGAAACAATAATATAATCTCCTTCATAATACCTGTCACAAACATGATCAGAATATAATGAAATGTATTCGTTCGTGTTATGATAAAGACATGATATACGTTGTAGAGTAGTAGCTTGTTCCAATAATGTCTCAAGACGGTGTTCGCGAACCATAATTGAAGGCGAAATGTACTCTAAAAATATAAATTAATATATATAAATAGTTAACATCGAAAACAAAAAAATTTTTACTAAAAGAAATAAAATATAAGAAAATACTTTGAATCTCCACTAATAATTTTTGGCGTGACGTTCCTTTTGCACCATCCCATTCAGCTCTGCGTCTCAAGTCTTCCGCATTACTGCACATCATAAAACTTATAAAATCGTAAAGAAAAATAAAAAAAAAATGATGAGAAAACGAATTTAACCATATAAATGAAAGTTTTAAATGAAATTTGTAACTTACCTTGATAAAGAATGAAGTCTTTCCAAGTTAAAGTCAAGTGGAGTGAGTTCGTTCCTCAATACAATTAAAGCTTTCTTGATTTGACGCGCTTCCAATAATTCAAGATATTTTTGTTGCCGAATCAAAAATCTTACAACCTACATAAAGGGAATTTTTAGTTATAATGAGAAGGCAAAAGTATAATAATGATTAATTTAAATAATTAACTAAAATTACCACAACATCTTTGTTATGATCTAGCTCCAATGTCGGGAAAAGACTTTCTACTAAAGCCCAATCTCCCTTCAAGACACCATCCCTGAATTTTGCAACTGCAGAGCTTTCAAGTGGAAAACCCGACTCTTGTTCAAGTGTAGCAGCAGATTGACTATGAAAATACAAGAAAATCATAAAAAGATTAAAATGAATCAGAAGATCAGCGAGGAATCACAGAAACATGAGCATACCTATAACCCATGTCTTGCATTGCTTGAACCATTAGCCTAACCAACTCTTGTTGTCGGGTTCTTTGCATTCTACTGTCAGTCAATGCTTGACCGTTGGTTGCATTTTGAGAATCCCCATTACTACTATTAAGAGAAACACCGTTAGTGCTACCTCCTACACCATTTTCACCTTGGTTGATTCTCATTGCTGGTTGTATTTCTGTAATTTCTTCGAGTCGCAAACGTTTAGGCGAACGCAAATCCGAATCCGAATCACTAGCTTGAGGGTAGTCGTCTACTTCGTCTCGAGGGTGATAGCCACCTGTTTGACTTCGTAATTCGTCCGTAGGGAAAGAGGAACTTGAATTTGAAGGAGAAGTAATGTGGGATGACGAAGCGAAGGGGAAAGTCAGAGAAACTTGATCTTCGTCAAAGTTGCTGAGCAGTGTATGTGAAGTGACTGCAGCAGAAGCACTTTCTAATAAGCTTTGTAATGAAAGTTGGTGAGCGTCGTTATTGACTGAATTGCCTCTGCTACTAGTCCTTCCAAATTGCGAGTCGCGTTCCAGGATGGGTATTTTTAGTAAGGCACACTCGAGTGTGCCAAAATTGTGGTAGTAATGGAAACGAAAATAAGTTGAGAGGAACGAAAATGAGTATTACTAATTATAATTAAAGTGCCAGTATCAAATGACAACCGAATAGTGAGTACAACGTAAACGTGAGTCACATCAACTTTTATAGACAAGACTGAAGGAGGAAAGGTAATAAACTTCGTAAAGAGAGAACAAAAAAAAAAAAAAATGAATTGACTATCGATATATGAAACAATCAACCACCTTCGATAGTTTGGATAAGAGTCAGAGATTTTTTAGCATTTCTTCGATGACCCCCTTTTATGTAACTGTAAAAAAAAGTTAAACGTCATAAGAAAATATTTTTTTTCAAATGTTCATATGTTGGCACTAAACAGTACATATATTCACGTGATTATATCCTAATCACGCGATGCAGTTTTCTTTGAAGTTGGCTTATTATCTATCGTCTCACCAGAATTTGCCATATCATCAAATATTGTTAAAGAAGCCGGATAACATTGATTTCTCTTTAACTTCTTTTATCATGCCAATCCGTCATACAAATACCGTGTGTTTCACTTATTTCACTTATTGAGATCTTATTTTAAAAGTATAGGATCCAATTCTAAAGTGAAATTAAAAATAAATGAATCTATCTTATAGGATAAAATTTTTTTTATACCGTGAGAATTTCTTAAACAAAATAGGGAGAAAATCATACTATCACGCGATTCTGCATTTTTGCAGGGAAGATAGATTTGCACAGCCATTTTGGCAATCACAATTTAATATTATTATTATTATGAATGGTATAAATTATCGAAAGAAGATCTGATCAATTCCCATTAGGAACTTTGTGTTTCTTTAACAAATCACATTCCAATATCTATATATAATTCTCTCTATAAATATATAAATATATTTAAAAATATTTCAATGCGAAGGAAAAGAATTTACAAACGGTTGAAATTTTTTCGCGACATTTGAAGAAAGACACGTTTAATCAACGTGTCTTAAGAGAGATTCCTTTTTGGAGAAATGGTAGATCATGAAGTCACGTGATAATTTATTAGCATTAACGCGTCTTCAGAACATAAAGAAGGAAATCCTAAGAAAGAACATGAATTGGCAACTTGGAAAAAAAATCTCCGAGTTAAACAGCATCAGCCTTTAATTGTCCAATTCTTCGGCCTTCTCCGTTGCTTTAACCTGAGCTTTCTTCCTATTTAACTCGCTAATTTGCTCTACAACTATCTTAAATTTCTCATTTTGGATTTGACGTTTATAACGACAATATTCCCTATTGTAATAAATAATTGTAAATATCTAACATGAAATATTGCAGAATAAATAAAATTAAATAAAATAATGTAATAAATAAAACGAGTTTTTAATTGCAAAGTTATTATCACCATGTGCCAATTGAGATTATACAGAATGATCCAACAGCCCAATTTGAAGCCGAGAGAACATTACCTATAATTATGATAAAGGGTTTCCTTGCATTTTATATTTAGATTCATGATTTTTTTCTTTCTTGATTTATAACACCTTATTTGTCTTTAAATATAAAGTGTGTTGAAATGCAAAGTCGAGCTAACCTTTTTTTAAGAACCTTAATGAACCGATGGTCGCCCCTCCTCCGATTCCGTATAAGAAACTTTTACGAGCACACGGAATTTTACCGATATTTTCAAAGTCTTGCCAGCTCAAATTCTAAAAATGAGAGTCCAGTGGATAATGAACATGAAAAGTTGAAATGACGAAATTATATATAAATTTTCTAACTTAGCAGACCTTCAAAACTATTAAGAATTGATTTTCTTTTGTTGTTGTCGATTCATTTGATTGAGGGTCAATTGAAATTTTCTTATCATTATCGGAACTTGAACTCATTTTTCTTAGAATTTTGCCGATCTGGAATTTTTTTTTTTAACTTATTGGATTGTTAGTTAAATCTGATTGGCCGATCGCACGCATAATAATCCATCTTTTAGTCAAATGTACTTCTCCCTTACAAAAAACAAAAAATGTCAAATAGATCCTTTAAAGACAAGGAAAAACCAGTTGAAGTTCGACTCAGCAACATCATCGCCGCTAAAGGTACTGCTTAGATCTAATACGACTTATTCGTAGCACGAATCGATTTGAAAGCGATGTAGTTATGCTGTTGTGATTAAAACGGGAAATTATAGAAAAAGACAAACTAGATACAGTTATTGTTGATACATTTTCTTTTAGATCGATTTGACTAACGAATCATTTTAAGCACATAATATGATATCTTCAAATGTTTTGTTTATGAATATATATATATTTTTTATTTATATAACCTTACAATATTGCTTTCGTTTGTTCTCTTTAGCGGTTGGTGATGCTATACGGACCTCTCTTGGTCCTAAAGGCATGGATAAAATGGTAAAGATTTAAATAATATTTTATCCCTTAAATCTCCAAAAATGTAAAATCATTATTTTATACAGTATTATCGTTATATAATCCTTTCCCCTTTTGCTGCCAAAATTTTCACGCGTTAGAATTTCGTATTTAGCTTGTACTATTAAATAAAAAAGTAATATCGTATTATGAATTTAATATTTCATATAATCTTAATTCAATCAGATTCAAACTGGAAATGGTGAAGTCGTTATCACTAATGATGGAGCCACCATTTTGAAACATATGTCTGTTTTACATCCTGCAGCTAAAATGGTACAGTCTATATTTTTCTTTTTCATTTTTTAAAATACTACACAATTCATTTTAATCTTTCGGTTCAATGTTGTACAGCTTGTTGATTTATCTGCTGCTCAAGATGTTGAGGCAGGAGATGGTACGACGTCTGTTGTAGTAATTGCAGGCGCACTTTTGGGAGCCGCGGAGAAATTGCTTGGCAAAGGTAATGATGCTCTCTATGAGATGTAATCGACAATATAATATAATGAATGTCAACTATGTTTCGTTTAAATTTAGGAATACATCCTACAACAATTGCCGAGTCTTTTCAACGCGCTGCCAACAAATCCACCGAATTTCTTACAGAAATGGCCACTCAAATTGATTTATCGGATAAGAAATCCTTGTTAAATGCTGCCAGTACCTCATTAAATTCAAAGGTATTTGATATATTTACCTTTTTTAAGTAAATGCGAGTCTTATTATTATTATTATTATTATTAAAAAAATTTTTTAATATAGATCGTTTCACAATATTCCGGCCTTCTTGCCCCTATCGCCGTTGATGCTGTATTGCGTGTAATTGATCCAGCAACAGCTACGAATGTGGACTTGAAGGATATTCGTATTGTTAAAAAAGTTGGTGGTACAATTGATGATACTGAATTGGTAGATGGATTAGTACTTGCACAAAATGTGGTTAAAACTTCCGGGGGGCCAACTCGCATTGAGAAAGCTAAGATAGGCTTGATTCAATTTCAATTATCTCCTCCAAAGCCTGATGTATGTTATACTCATTTTGATTTCTCGCGAATTTTCATTTTGTCTAATTAATAATATTTTTACTGTTTAGATGGAGAACCAAATTATTGTTAACGATTATAGGCTTATGGATAAAATTCTGAAAGAAGAACGACAATATCTTCTTAATATGTGCAAAAAGATAAAAAAGGCTGGATGCAACGTTCTTCTCATTCAGAAATCAATTCTTCGAGATGCCGTTAATGACTTATCTTTACATTTCTTGTCAAAACTAAAGATTCTAGCGGTTAAAGATATTGAAAGGGACGAGATTGAATTTATATGCAAGGTAATTTATATAAAAAATTTAAATGAAAGATTTCTTTTAAAATCTAAAGTGATCATTGCTTTTAGAGTACTGGTTGTAAACCAATTGCGGATATAGACTCATTCACCGAGGATAAACTTGGATACGCTGAACTCGTTGATGAGGTTCAAACTTCGGGTGCTCGTGTTGTTAAAGTTACTGGTGTCAAACACATTGGCAGAACTGTATCAATTTTGTGTCGTGGCGCTAATTCTCTTGTTTTGGAAGAGGCTGAGCGTTCGTTACATGACGCGCTTTGTGTAGTTCGTTGTCTTGTAAAAAAAAAGTATATATTTGGTCAAAATTCGTTTATTTAACGTTTAGAAAACTTTTTAATATTTCGCAATTTTATTTTAATAGAGCCCTGATTGTGGGAGGGGGAGCACCAGAAATTGAAGTTTCGCAACGATTATCAGAACACGCGAAATCATTAAAGGGCATGGAAGCTCATTGTTTTGAAGCTTTTGCTAATGCACTTGAAGTTATTCCAGTCACATTAGCCGAAAATGCAGGATTGAATCCTATTAATATTGTTACCGAGTTAAGAAATAAACATGCTTTGGGAGAAAAAACTGCGGGAATAAATGTTAGAAAGGTAGGTTTGAAACATAATGTATGCGTATTTCCTTTCGGAGTTTTTTTTAATACATATGCCGATTATCATATAGGGTACAATTACCAATATGCGCGAAGAACACGTCATACAACCATTACTTGTATCAACTAGTGCAATCGAATTATCTGCAGAAACAGTAAAAATGTTACTTAAGATTGATGATATGGTAAAATTATTACTATTCATCATTTATTTTATTATCTCGTTTTCTAATATACTATCTTTTATCTTAGGTTCAAACCCGATAATCTTGTGTTAAAAGGTTTATAAATTGCATAGATTTTTTAATTCCCCGTATTTTTTTATTTTTTTTTGGTAGAAGTAATTTCGCCCAAAAAAAAAAAAAATTTTTAAAAATAATCGACATAATCGTGTTCATTAATAAAAAAAAAAAAGCAATCAAATAATATGAGGATAATTTATCCAAGAAGTTTTAAAACGATTTTCTAACCACTTTACCCCCGATTTAACGTTATCAAAGGGATCATTTTGATATCACAAATATATAAGTGAATTTCTCGTCGATATATAGACTGAACTACGATCGTCAGAATTAAATATAATTAAATATCGTTACGATCTACACCTTGCATAAGATCAAAAGTAATATGTGATAACTGCGCATACAATGAATTAAAAATTTTATATTCTTCCCGGAAAAGCTTTTCCTATAATAGGCGCGGCTTGGACAATTTATTGCTTATTTTACATGCGGGTTAAAGAAGGGAGAAAAAATTTAAAATTGTGATCGAGCAGTTCATTAATATCGATTAATCTGATAACTTACGGGCTGAAATTAAATTAGGCGTCAACCTACAAGAACCATCTATGTCTAGAAAATCTTTTGATGGATACGAGTAATGGAATTCTAAACAAAGGTAACGCCAAAGGACCGAGAACCTGCGATTTAAGGATTGATTAGATATTATTTTTATTATTTTCTTATTATATAATACAATAAACGTACAACAAACAATTTTTTTTTTTTTTTTTACGAGTTTATCTAAATTACTACTAACCAATAATGAATATTTACTGCAAGTACGAGGGCTGTGAAGCATTTAACAGATCTCTAAATGGGTACACTTAAGATCAGTTGGTTTTTTTTTTTTTTTTTCATCGAAAACAAAGATAAAAAGTCCCCAAGAACTTCTTTAAAAATTTTTCTTCCTTCATCTTCGGATTTTTAACAAATTCTACAAAACGATATCCAAAAATGCCCGATATTCATTTGAAAAACCCCCATGCCAAAAAGGGATTTTGGAAACGCCTGTCACGTCACAGAGGTTGGGGTTATCCTGACGTTCTACAAATTAGAGGCTCCGTAAGTATCTAAAATAATGAAAAAAGGAAAGGAAAGGAAAAAGAATATATATTTATAATAATTTAATTTTTTCATTAATAGGTACTTCCAAGCTGTGTGCCTATTCTTTTCTTTTCAACACTTTTCACCACTCTCTTAGCTGTTCTATATCTAATCTTTGAGATAAACATAACTCTTCCTGAGAGTTTAGGTAAGTTTTTATTTTTATTTTTATATTTATTGTGCTTCATTTATTATTTTCTTTGATAATGATATGATATTATTATTTATAATTTAGTTGGTACTGTTGCTGTGGTGGTCGGTCTTCTTTTGGCTTTCCGTACGAATAATGCCTATGATCGTTATTATGAAGGCAGAAAATTATTCACCTCAATGTGGTATGTATATTTTGGGAATAATCATAATCTTTGTGATAATCAAAGATCGTCATTTGCTGCGCCAAACATCTCGTTCATAGGGAATTAATATAATTAATATAATTTCATAAATTATTAGCACTCAAATTCGAAATGCTACAAGAAATATTTGGGTTGGAGTAAGAGAACTTGACGAAGCTGATCGTAAAGAAAAAGAAATGAATATTAGACTTTTATTGGCATATGCAGTTGCTATTAAACATCATCTTCGTTTAGAATTTGGTACGGATTGGTTTGACTTGACAAGTCTTCTCCCTGATGGATTTCAATTAACGTACTTTGATGGAAACGTTGCACAAGAAAATACGGTATTGGGAGCTGGGCATGATGAAGATCCTAATAGGAGTGTTGCCAATAGACCTTCATCGGATATCCCTGAACATTCACTTCGTGTTATTGCAAATAGAATGTCTCCTTCAACTTATAAATCTCTTCGTAATTCATACTCTCGTGATGAAACAACTATATGGTTCGGAGCATCAGAATGGGGTAGTGATATTGATGCTAGTATGAGTTTGCCACTTGAAATTATTTTTCACGTCGGGTTATATATTGATAAAAAACAACATAATGGTTCTTTGGATGGTGCTCGTTTTGGTGCAATTTCTGGAAATTTAAATTCTCTAGTTGAAATTTTCGGTGATTTAGAACGAATTAGTGACACCCCTATCCCATTTGCTTATAACATTCATTTGTAAGTAATCTGTTATTTGGAGACGACGATTTTTTTTTTAAAAAAATTAATATTCACTATTTTTTATAGGAAACAAGCCGTCCTTTTGTATGTTTGGGTACTTCCATTCACTTTGGTTGATAAAGTCGGATGGGCGGTTATTCCAACCGTCTTTTTGGTTGCTTTTGTGCTTTTCGGTGTTGAAGCTATCGGTACGTAATTCCTCTTTTTTTTTTTTTTTTTATATATATATATCACTGTTTATTTATATATATATATATTTATTAATATTTTTTTTTTTTTTGAAAAAACGATAGGTGCTGAAATTGAAAATCCATTCGGTAAGTAGTAATATCTTAATATATATTATTATCTCTCTTTCTTTTAACAAATTATTTATCTTTATTTTATCTTTAAAGGTTTTGACAAAAATGATTTGCCATTGGATGGATATTGCGATGTTAGTATTTATTTATTTATTTTTTTCCTCCTAGAAGAATTATATCTTTTTTACTGATAAAATCATTTTAATTCATGTTAATAGGATTTGAAAGCTGAAATTGAATACTTACAACGTCATATTCCTTCCGTGAAGGCAATTCCGGCATCTCAATCTCCCCGTTAAATATCTTTTCCTTCTTTTTTTTTTAAAGATATTTGTTAAAAAAAAACTAATCACTTTAAAAAAGCTTGTTAAGGAATTATAGTGATGTAAAATATAGGTTGTAATAAATAGTGTAAAAAAAAAAAAAAAATTGTGTATAGTTAAATAGTTTTTCGAAAAAAAATTTTTTTTTTCTTTTTAGGTCGCGTTCGTTGTTTATTTATTTCCTTTTCAAAATAGTTCAATAAAAATTATTAACTATTTTTTTTATAAATTTGGAAGATTAATCTCATGTGATACGAGTATCATTTGTCATGAATTTAAATTTATTTGAGGGCAACAACGAATAATTTCTCACTTAATAATAAACAGATCAGAAAATTAAAATTATAGCATTAACACTTATATACAATCTTCATACGTCTTTCGGGAAGACCTTTTTTTTTTTTTATTTCCATCAACGCAGGTTTTTATGCATTTCAAAAAACTATATATTATATATATACTTACACGAGAAAAAATATTTTTATATATAGCAAGTCGGAGAATCTTTTTTCCCAAATATAAAACAAAAGATGAACGATTTCTTTATATGTCTGTACCAACATCCTCTTCAACATCATCATCATCTTCTTCTTCAATACTACTTTGTTGCATGACAGCATCTAAAAGAATGTCTTTTTCAGTTCTTAACCTTTTCAATTTCCTTTTAATCACTTGATATTCATCTGCCAATAACTCATTCTCTCTTCTAATATATCTATGCTTAGCTTTAAGAACAAGATATTTTTCATAAAAAGATTTTTGTTGTGATTCATCATCAATATCATCATTATCATTGACATTATTGTTATTGTTATTATCAGGGGAGGTATCAGAAGATGATGATGATTCCGATGGTTCGGATAAAGAAGATCCATCCTCTGAAGTATAATTTCGATTTTGATTTAAATTATTTTCAGGAAGTTGATGATGTTGGTTCCTTAAAGAAGATTGTTGTTGCATTTGTGTCTGTCTTTCTAATGAATGTCTTAAAGCTTGTTGTTGTCTTGATCTTGGAGAAGAATTATTATTGCTATTGCTATTGCTATTGTTATTGTTATTATTATTGGTATTATTATGATTGTTATTATTATTATTATTATTAGATGAAGGATGAATCGGAGTTAAATTAAAAGAAGCTTGAGAATCATCTTCCTCATCGGGTGAAGTTGATGTTTTTCGTTTTTTATATGTTCTTTGAGGTTCTTCCATATTACTTCGTTTTTTATATGGTTCACTATGTTGACTTTTTGTGTGCTAGGTTGTTTAATAGATTATCAGTGAAATTTAAGGGAAAGGAATTAGATAATTCTTTTGGTAAAAAAAATATATCTACCTTTGTAAGCGAATCAGGTCGCGTAAAACTTTTTTCACAACCTAAATTTTGTTGAAGCCGATAAAAAAAGAAAAAAATACATATATATTTTTTAAGATTTTAATTCTAATTCACTTAATGATGTAGGTAAAGAGGAAGGCAATAATAAAAATCTTTGAAAGAGAAAAAAAAAAGGAAAGAAAAAGAAAAAAGAAAAGAGAAAAAAAACAAACACGATCTCAATGATACCTGGCACTTTACAATCATAAGGTTTCTCCCCGGTGTGACTCCTTAGGTGAGTAATTAACGCAAATCGAGAAGTTTGAGTAGCTCCTTTCCTAGGACAACTCGCCCATTCACAAGTGTAATTCGCTTTCTTTCTTCCTACGTGATCTAAACAAATTTTATTATTTTTTTTTTTTTTTTTCGAAAACACGAGTATAGTAGGGAGGGTAATTGGTCAAATTAAGTTAGTACAGGTCCTTTCTATATCGGGAGATCGTTGATGGTAAAAAAAAAAAAAGTTTATCATATATATATATTTATATGTATGAACATCATTTATTAATAACTAATGATTTAGGAAAAAAAAAAAAAAAAAAAAAATTTACCTTCGTGCAAATGAGATACCAAATCGGCTAGAATTATAAAAGTTTCTGGACACTCGTCCCATTTACAAACTAAAGCCTTTGAATTTACTCTCAAAGGAGGAGAATTTGGACTGTCAGAAGTATATATTGGTGATGACATAATATTATTTCTAAAAAAAAAAAAAAATTAAATAAATAAAATAAATAAAACTTGTATGTATGTACGTTCCAAAGAACAAGAAAGAAAGAAAATAAAGAAATATATATATATATATATATATGAGAAAATAAATATTTTTAAAATGAAAGGCACAACAAAAAAAATAAAAATAAAAAATTACGATTTTTTTTTTCTTTTTTTGTCTTTTTATAGTTTAATAAAAGTAAGGTATCAAAAAAAAAATTTTTTTTTTTTATGTCACAAAAAAACGATAGAATTTATATAGGAGTTAAGAAAAAAAATCCTTTTTTTTTTTGTGTTCGAAATTCCGAAATCTGCTACGTCATTCCTTTTGAATATTACCAAAGAAGGAATGTGGCGATGCAAATAAAAATATATTTAAACACTTTGTTGCATATTTTATAACCTGCAGAAATCGCGCGTTTTGGTGTACTCTTTTTTTTTTTTGTCGGGAATTCATAAAATTGATGATTGAGCAATGTTACATTATTCACCACAACGATCCCGATGATATAAATTTAAGGGTGCATATATATCTTTTTTTCGCGGGCCTCCAAATGAGGAATTAAAGGCAATGTTTCGACTTGATGGAAAAAAAAAATTTCATTATAACAATAGGGAAATCGAATATGAGAAAATAAAGAAATACCGTATATATACTGTACAAATTAACCAAACGATTTTCATATTGGAAAAAAAATATCGACAGAAGTCAGTTCGCGTTAGAATTTTAAAAATGAAAAATATCATTATAAGTCTTGATTTTTTCTTTGTCGAGAATTTTATTTAATTAAAGAGATCTATAAATTTTTTTACATCGCGTAGTAAATAACAACATTGAAGTAACATTTATTGATTATCAAATCCGCGTTAGGGACTGAATGATCCTTAGTTCCGATTTAGGTTCTTTTTTTTTTTAAAAAAAAAAAATAAGTACGTCTTTCTCGAATGGATTATAAATAGTTATAATATTAATAAACCCAAAAAAAGGTGAAAAACAAGCCTTAAATGGTATTCATTCAATTATACACAACAGATCATGGCAAATCTTTGACTAAATAAATCTGACATTTCATTATATTGTACTCCTACATATTATCGAATGACTTTGATACACAAAAAAAAAAAAAATAATAAAAGGTTTTTCTATTTCAAGATTTGCCCGTGCGCTAGTGTAATTGGTAAAAAAAAAGTGGTCAGTAGAAGGGTAAGTTACTTTGGACATTCCGAATAATTTCAAATATGATTAGATTATTCGTTAACTCGGAATTTAAAGTTCTCATAGTTTTGTTTATGTATTGTAACCAGCGATTCCCGTTCTTATATCTTAATTAGTTTCAATCGACATTTTTTTTAGTATGGATGTTTATATTGTTTAGATTATTCTTAGCTACACGCGTACAATGATTATCATCAAATGATCATCCTTTCAAATAAAAGTTATACTTTAAATATATTGTATATTAATTATTCCATCTTTTTTATTAGACAATAATAGTATATAACTTACTTATTTAATTTCATGAGCTACTACGAAAAAGTTCTAGACTGCGTTAAATAACGATGAGATTAACCAAAAAAAAAAAGTTTAAAAAAAAAAACTAAAGTTGCAGAGATAGCTCAGAAATCGAATTTTAATTATACTTAACCAATAATTTTTACGGTTAAATTATTCAAAAAAAAAACGTCACTTTTTTTTTTAAAGTCGATCGGTTTTTAACAATCATAAATTTTATTTACAAGTAACAGTATCTTTATCAATTATGAATCTTTTTGTTAAAAGGATTTATAAAAAGAAAATGATTAAATTAGAAAACCTTCTAATGAATTCCTTTATGAATGGTCAATTTATTGTAAAATGCAAATTGGAAATTTTATGAGATTTTGACAGTCCAAAATTTGAACAACTTTATGAAGAAAACTTATAATTTTAAAAGAATATTAAATAAAATTTATTTCAGAATTTATTAAAAACTACAAAAAATTTCTTCTATAAAAGGAAAATACATATTTGCTTTATACAGTTTCTTTTGAAATTGTTTTATATATAAAAAGATTGTTAGAAAAATCAGAAATTTTAATTTAATTAAAATTCTTAAAATCTGATTTTTTATATATATAAGAAAAAATAATAATTGAAATTATAAAAATATTTTAAAGAATTTCATTGATTATTATTTAAAATAAAAAATATATATATCATATATGAAGCATGCTATAACAAAACAAAAGTGAACATTAGTATTACCAAAAATTTCAGGAATCAATAGTATTTATTTAACATTACAATTATATTGTGATTAATAATATTTATTTAGATAAAAATAATTAATATAAAGCTTATTTATATCATATCTATTATAAACCCAAAAATTATAGCATTATTATTAAAAGTTTTTAAAAAAAGAATAAAGTGAAAAAATTGCTTTTTACATTTTTAAAATAAATGATACTCAAATACTTAAAGCTTATCTAAAAAAGTAAAAATTACTTATGAATTTATCAAGAAGAAGAAAAATAATAAACACTAAGAAAAGAAACAAAATGAGAATATATTATTACAAAAATAAATCAGAAATTTCTAGATAAAAAAATCTAACAAATTTACTATTTATTTTTATCTTAATAAGATTTTTGAAATCAATACTAAATATTTTACTCCAATCATAATTTAAAGAGTTTACTTTATTTTTAAATAATTATTTTACTTTTTTTTTTGCTAAAATTATTTTATAAATATAATTTAAAAATAAAAAAAATCATAAACAAAAAAAATATTTTAATTGATATAATACAAAAGAATATTTAATTGTTAATTCATTAGATGAAATAAAAAAAAATTATTAATTTTTATTATTAGAATTATATATAAAATCTTCCTTAACAAAAGTTAAATAAATATGTAAAGTGAGAAAAAAATAAAAAAATTTTAAGAAATTCTAAAAAGTTTAAAAAAAGAAGAAAGTGATTGATCTTAAAGAATAAAAAAACTAAATAAGTATAATTAATAAAAATGAGACAAAATTATTACTGTTTATTAATATAAAATATTTTTTTATTGGAATATTATTATTTATAAAAACAGTAAATATTATATTATTCTTAATATATTAATTATTTAAAAGAAATTAAAAAAGATAAATAATCTAAACATTTTGTCTAAAAAAAAAAAATATTATTACAAATTATATATATTCTTTAAATAAAGATAATAAAGCTTATTTTTATTGTGATAGTATAGTTCTTTATAAAAAGTATTTATATAATTATTATATATCAGACTTTAAAAAAGTTTTTTTATTTTTATTAATATCTGTTCTAATAGTAAAATTTATTATATAAAAAAGTATATTAAAGATATATTTATTTAAAAATAAAATGAAATACTACTAGTTTTTAAAGATATAAAAAAAATAAATAAGTTTATCATTCTAAAAACTTTCAATTTACTATTCTAACCAAATTTACTAATCAAAATCTTTTTATCTTATAGCTTATATTGTTCTAAAATATAAAAAAAGTATAAAAATAAGTATTAAATAAAAGAATATAAACTAACTACTTCTGAATAAATAGAATTAACTAAAAAAAAAACTTTAAATCTAAGTTAGAAAATATTATTATAAAAGAGGTAAAGTAATTATAAAATTATATAATAAAATATATTTGAATATACTACTATTGAACTAAATAATATATTTTAAATAATAAGTTTTTATTATTAAAATACTTAATTTAAAAAGAATTTAAATAAAATATTATAAGAACTTATATAAAAAATAAAAAAAGGAATTAATTGTTATAACTTTATATTTTTTTATAAATAAAAAAAAAAATAAGTTAATCATAAGTAAAAAAGAAAAATTAATAGAAAAAAATCTTTTTAAAGTAATAAATTAAAAAAAAAAAAGTAAAAAAAAATATATTATTTTTATAATATTTCTTAAATTCAAACTTGAAGTAAAACTGTAAAAAAAAAGATCATTTAATAAAAAAAATAAGTTTATTAATATTATAAAAATAAAAGAATAGTTAAATAAACTAAGAGATCCAGAGACTTATTATAAAAATTAGAATAAAACTCTAAGAGTTAAATTAGAAAACTAATAAAAAAAAAAAGTTTATTAAATATTTGGTTATGAAATATTATTATATCTTTTAATTATAGTAAACTCTCTATAAGTGCATCCTTTATAAGTGCACACCCTCTCTATATGCATACTATGACTTGGTTTCAAGCTCAAGACTTAGAGCTAAGTGCATACCCTTCATATTTTACACATGCAAGTAATTCCAAATCCTGAATATATTAGAGCATCCTCTATAAATGCATTCATGTGATTAACAACCAATCAGAATTAACCGTTTTATCACGTGATAAATAATTTAATTTAAATAACTCCATGTATACTTTTAATAAATTTAACTATTGAAAAAAAAAACTCATTTTTATATTATTTATAAATGTATTTTTTATTTTTTTTGTTGAATATTTTTAATCAGTTGTACAAATATTTATAAAAATAATTTAATCCAAATTTTACAAGTATGTGAACAAATTAATATAATCAAATCAAATTTGTATTAGATCATATGAGATGAATATACTTACAAGTAAATAGAACATGTTAGTAATAAAAATAGAAAGCAAATTGTTGAAAATTATCACAAAAAGGAATAAAATAATAATTAGATTTCATCATATATCTAAATATAGAAAAAAGAAATGAAAAACTTACATGATTTAATGTAACTTCTATTCATTTTCTATCAAAATAAATACTTATACTATCATGTTATTTAAATAACATTAACAGTATCCTCCTAAAAATATGGCTCTTAAAAGAACCACTTTTACTGAAATTCAAAAATAAAATCTTTGTATTTACGTTCGTGATAATAATAAAAAGACTCGAGCTCAATATGTTAATTGGATCGAAGAACAGTGGGGTCTTAGAGTTGATAAAAGTACAATTACT